CTGAAAATAACACCCAATACCTGCTCTACCACCCATCACTGCTGAAAACTCACTATTAAACATGGCTTGGCCTAAGGCTTCAATCACATTAACATGCAAATGGGGCCTAGGAAATGAATTGGCACACCAGGTGAAGGAATTTATCAGTGTGCTGCCTGAGAAAAACATCTTGATAAAAGGAAGTATATTAGTCACAACTCTCAGCTTAAATCTGCTTGGTCCCAGAGGGCATCCATGGGTTCACTTAGCCCAGAGGTGCTGGCTACCTTCTTTTATGCATATACAGGGCCCTGGGAGTCAGTGTCTCTTCATTTCTTGGTTCTGTTTTCCTCCATGTTGCCTGTTGTCACTAGCAGGCCCTACCCAGAGTAATTAGAAAGATAACCACCCTCAATTCTGGCTTGCTTCCCACCTGCTGAGAAACCCTTGGAGAAAAGAGCAGCCTTATTCTTTAGAGCCTGCAGCCCCTGCATTTCACTGGCCTCAACTCCCACATACATGCTGTGGCCAAGGGACTGGCCTGACTCAGACACCTCCCTTTCCACTGCAGTCAGCCCCTGCAAGCCACAGACACTAACAGTGGGGGCTGTATCAGGATGGTGATGTCTGGTCTACCCAGAGAAGTTTGTGAGCAGGTGGCCACTGGTGCCCATGGAGGAAGGAGAGGCAGGCTTTAGGAAGCCAGGTCTTCCTCTGCCCAAACCATTCCTATTTGATTTGTAGGATTTGGTAACATAGGTCCTCTCTCCCCCGTGGGGCTACCTCTGAGCTTTCCTCCAGGCCCCTGCTCTTGCAGCCTCCTTGCCTCCTTTAACTGAGAGTCCAGCACCACATGGGACTGGCTCCTGATGGCTGGCTCACCTCCACGAGATAGAAAGCTCTGCCAGGCCAAGGAATGTGTGCTAGTACAGCAAAGGACAAGCACTGCCCTATTCCGAACTTAGTAAAACTTTCTTTCTTTCACATATATAGCCCAACATGGATATTCCTGATCTGTGAATGGTCTTCCACATGATCACTCAGGACCCCAGGGCTTTGGAGCACCACCCACCATTGGAGCCATCTGAGATGTCTGACCACATGTAGCCAGTACAACTGAGGAACTGAATTTTTAATTTTACTTCATTTCAACCAATTTAAATTTAAAGAGCCACAAGTATCTAGTGGCTGCTATCTTGGCTGGTGTAGCCTTGGACTCTCTGCTGGATCTTCTGACTCCAGTGGAAGATGGAGATGAAAAGCAATGTGGGAGGTGGTTTTGAGGCAGGCCTAGCAAGTGGCGTTCTCATTTGCTGATCGTCCATTGGCCAAAACTCATCATCTGTCCACATCTAACTGCAGGGGATACTGGGAGCTGCTATCTCACAGGGGCCCTAGAGATGTCGGAGCAAGTTTTGGCAAGAGTGCAGCAGTCAGCCACACACCATCCTGACCTGGTGGTGCCTGGTGGAGATGGGCACGCAGGAAAGGATTTTTTGAATGAATCAATGTGAATGTGAGTAAGAGCATGTGCATAAAAATCAATGTGGGTTAAATGGTGAAAAAAGGAGTGGTAGGGAGGCCTGTAGGCAGGTTTCTTCTCAGCCCTTGCCACTCAGTGGCTGCTGGGAGCTCCAGGCCACCTCACTGACCCAAGATTCTCCCTTCTAGAATCCAAAATGTGGGGCAAAATGCAAAATCTCAAACACAGGCAAATAACATTCATTTAAATAGCAAATATTGACCCTGAAGGGAGATAAGGAGGATACAAAGTGCAGAAACACCATGGCAAACTCTGGGCCAGTCTGAGCGGGGGAGGCAGGTCTCAGAGGTGGGACCCTGGGGTCAGGGCCAGGTGTGGCGGTTTGGGGGTGGGGTGACATCCTTATCTGAACCCTCATGCGAACCAGCCCCCAGTGAGGGATTTGTAGGCTACATTCAAGGAATTGTGGTCTGTGATGAAGGCAGGAGTTGCCACCGAGGGATCCCAGGAACGCGTGGAAGGGGTACAGCAGAAGACTGGGCTGGGGGTTGAGCATTCTGAACCCCATGCTGGCTCTGTCTCTACCTTGTTGCAGGTTGCAGGCAAGTTCCCTCCCACCTTGGGCTTTGGTAGTCCCAACAAGGAGGGGTCTGGACAGAGGATTTCTACAGTCCCTCAGCCCAATAGATATGAGACTGACTCTTCATCTCTGCCCCCAAATAGCTGCACAGACTTCAGCAAGGTCTTTGACCCCAGAGTCTTCAGTCTGCCCAGCTCTGAAATGAGAGGAATTATACTAGTCTGGGACCATGTAGGAAAGCTGTAACAAGCCTGGACTTATGTTAATGGTCTGAGTAGCAGGAGACAAAGGGACCTCCCTCCTTGGAAAACCAGCCACCCTGGCCTCAGCATTAAGCGGGCATCTGTGGAGGTGATGTGGCCATATGGGTCTGTCTCCCTCAAGGGGACCTGGAGCTCCTTGAGGAAAAATACCATGCCCACAGAGTGCTGGTGCTGAGGAGGGGCAGGGGTGAACCTGACTTGTATTTGCCAGTTTGAATGACCTGGATACCCCTACCATGGCCAATTTCAAGTCACCAGAATATTACAGATCACAAAGCTGGAAAGAGAGGTCCACGGGAACAACAGGCTGGGGCCTGTCTCGGGGTTGTGCACACAGGCAGCCCTGAGTGGGGCCTGCCTGGCAGCAGCCTCAGCTGACCCTGCCGCTCCGTGCTGCTGCAGAGCTGGGAGCCCTTGCTAGCTTTGAGGAGGTGGGGAAGCTGGGGAAGGGCTCTGTATGGCATTAACTATGGGAAGGCTGGTCTGGAGGGTCCAGCATGACTTCACTAAGGAGCTGGCACATCTGGGCACCTATTTAGGGTCTCTCCATGTGACGGCTGGTTCCCACAGAGGGATCATCCCCAAAGGAGCCAGGGTGGCTGTATGTTCTTTGCTGACAGAGGCTCAGAACTCAGGCAGTGTCACTTCCAACTCTAGATTTGAGGGGAAGGAGAATCCAACTTCACCTCAGTTGGGGAGTGAAAGGGCTCGGCACCACGGGAGAACATGTGGGGCAGGTGGGATATACTGCTGTGACTATCTGTGACCACTGGAGGGGGACCCCTGAAGCCAAGCTCTCACCCAGTTCACTGCCTTTGGGGCTGCCTAGAGAAGGTATGCCTGGAGATTCAAGATGGCGGCATGAGAGATGAGACGGAGAATTCCTCCCAAAACTACACATAGTATGAAAATATAGTTAATTGATACAACTAACCCTAAAACAGCAACAAGAAAGAAGGCTGAACCAGACTGCATGCAGACCTCACAAACAGAGCAGATCTCACGAACACAGTGGAATGTATGAAAGCCTTTATCAGGCCGGACCCAAGCCCTTCCCCCACCCCAGCTCACCAGCAGGAGGAAGAGAAATGGAGCAGGGGAGGGTGTGGAAGCCTAGAACTGCTGAACACTGAGCCCTGGAGACCTGCTTTGGGAGCAGAACCTTACACTGTGTGGTGCTCTGGACACTGGGAAGCTCAGACAGATGGAGTGCTTGAGAGACAGATTGCGGCCATTTGTGGAGGAGGGGATCCACATCTGGCCGCTCTGGGACAAAGGAAAGGCAGGTGGTTTGAGAGGCTTCCTAGCAGCAAGAGGGCTGCTGAAGGAGTGGGGTTTGCAAGGAGCTTGCTGCATGGGGGAGCGGAGAGCTGGACAAAGTTGTCTGGGCACACTCTGCCCAGCTGGTTGGGAACTCTGGGGAGTTTAAAGCACCCCATCCCCCTGGCTGCCTGCTCAGCTCCAAGGCCCCCCACTGTGACACGCAGTCTGCTGCGCCTTCCTCCTAGCCTGCCAGCACTGGTTTGCAAACCTGTAGTCACTGTACTGGCATCAGGCCAGCCAGAGGGAGGCCCCACCTACAACAGCTATAGATGCAAAGCACAGAGGCTTTACACCTGTGTGCTTGGCCCACTGGCTCTGATACTTGAGATAGGCACCACAGACAGGAATCAGGAAACAGGTCTTTCCTCCCCCCGGGCACCAGCTCCACTCCCCTACGACCCTCAGCCTCACACTAGGGGCTGAACAGCTCCAGAGACTGGAGCTTCTGGGCACTAGTGGGCACCATACAGAATTATGAAACACCAAAAGAACATGGTTCAGACCAAAATCTCACAAACCCCAGAAAAAGGGCCTAATGAAACTGAACTCACTAATCTGCCTGAAAGAGAGTTCAAAATAAAAATCATAAACATGCTTATGGAGGTACAGAAAAATATTCAAGAACTCAGGAACAAATTTAAGTCTGAGATTCAATCATTAAGAAATTCCATATCTGAAATGAAACATACAATGGAAGGATTTAAATGCAGATTAGATGTAGTAGAAGAGATGGTAAATGGAATAGAAATTAGAGAAGAAGAATACAAAGAAGCTGAGGCACAAAGAGAAAAAAGGAATCTCTAAGAATGAAAGAATATTGAGAGAAATGTGTGACCAATCCAAATGGAACAATATTCGTATTACAGGGGTACCAGAAGAAGAAGAGAGAGAAAAAGGGATAGAAAGTGTCACTGAGGAGGTAATTACTGAAAACTTCCCCAATCTGGGGAAGGAGATAGTCTATCAGGCCATGGAGGTGCACAGATCTCCCAACACAAGGAACCCAAGGAAGACAACATCAAGACATATAATAATTAAAATGGCAAAGATCAAGGAAAGAGACAGACTTAAAAGCAGCTAGAGAGAGAAAAAAGATCACATACAAAGGAAAACCCATCAGGCTATCATCAGACTTCTCAACAGAAACCTTACAGGTCAGAAGAGAGTGGCATGATATATTTAATGCAATGAAGCAGAAAGGCCTTGAACCAAGAATACTATACCCGGCAAGGTTATCATTTAAATTTGAAGGAGGGATTAAACAATTTTCAGATAAGAAAAAGCTGAGAGAATTTACCCCCCACAAACCACCTCTACAATGCATTTTGGAGGGACTCCTATAGATGGAAGTATTCCTAAGGCTAAATAGATGTCACCCAAGGGATAGACAAAGAGCACAGAATATGATTCATGACATACAAAGAATGGAGGAGGAAGAAAAAGGAGGGAAAAAAAAGAGAAGGTATGCCTGGAAGGTCTGTTTCAGAAAGCATTACTTTCTGAAATACTGGGTTACAGCTTTCCAATAATATGGTAGGTAATATTATTTGAGCAATGATTGTATTCCAGGCAGGGACTTACCATTTCTTTCTCACAATTACCTTATGGGGTAAGGGGGGCTATTATTCTGAGTCACAGAGCAGTTAGACAGGGGTCTCAGTAACTTCCATGGGAGAAGCATAGGCAAGATTCAGATCCCAGCATTGGACCCAGAGCCCAGCTGAGTCCATAATCATTGACCCTTGGGTTTCCTTCCCAGGAAAACCATGGAAGGAACAGCCAGCTGGCTTCCAATGTCACCAGGCTGACCTCAAGTCTGCCACTGACCAGCTGTGACACTACATCCCTGAACCCCTCTGAACCTCAGCTTCTTTACCCATGAAATGGGGTAACAGTGCCCACATCCTGGGCTTGCCAAGGGGTGGTATGGACTCATGAACAGTAGATAGCAAGCAGGGGGTTGGTATTGAACAAACATCAAGCTCCTGTCCTTTTTCCCCTCAGGAAGGAAACTTGAAGACAATGCACATAACAGAACACTATTGTTCCCCCAAAGGGTGGAGGCATTGGAATTCAAGGAATGCTGTGATTAAAACCAATAGTGAACCCTCTGGAAAAGGTAGAAGGGCTAACTGTAGCTATTATGCTTACCAAATACCTGTGAATGCCTACTGTGTGCCAGGCTTACTGCTCAGCTCTCTACATCCTTAGCCCTCCCAACAAAACAGCAGGATGTGATAAAGGAGTCCAGATGGAGAGTTTAAGCATTGTACCCAAGTCCCAAAGCAGTAACCACAGAAGAGAGACTAGAACCCAGCCCCCTCTCATTTCCTGTGTCCCCTGCTATCTTGCCATGTCTTCTGAGAGGCTCTGCCGAAATACGAAGCTCAGTATGCCAGGAAAAGTAGTTTGGGAGTCACCTGTGGGATGGGAAATGACAGCCTGCTATCAATTACACTAATGAGTTACTGCCCTCTGGCCAATTGGTATCCAATCCAAACTCCTCAAGAAGCTGCAAGCTCCTGCATGCTCTGGGTTCCCATGACCTCTGTCATCTCATCCCCTACCACACTACCCGTCTGCCCCCTTGCTACTCTTGCCTGTCACTTTCCTGCCTCAGGGCCTTTGCACTTACTATTCCCTCAGCCTGGAACACCCAACCCACAGACCTTCATGTGGCTTGTCCTTCACCTATCCAGGTCTCCACTCAAAAGGCACCTCCTCAGGGAGGCCTTCCCTGACCAGTTTATCTACCATTACACCCACCTTACTCTCTGTCCTCTTAACCTGCATTTATTTATTTATATATTTATTGTCAGTTAGCACTCAGCACCACCTGACATTATACTATACATCTGTCTCTTTATGTAAATTTATGTTCGATTTTCCCCACTACAATGCCAGTCCTAGGAGGGCAGGGGTTTTATTGACACTGGTCACTGTTTTATCCCTGGGGCCTATAGCAGTGCCTGCACGCAGAGAATGCTTAATAAATAGTCACAGAACTGAAGAGAGACCTTATTAGCAGGGCAGAGGGCAGGGTAGGGCAGGGGGCTGAGAAGCTTGTGAGTCACTCTAAAGGAGAATTTACTTAGGGTCTTGTTTTTGTTTTCAATCAGAACTGTTTTGGTCTGTTCTGTCTGGAAGAATGGCCACATCCTTGCTCACTGATTCCAGGATTTTCAGAAGCTCTTTCCTAACAAGGGAAATGTTGCTTTTTGGCTGAGTATGGCCACATTGCAAGCATTGCCCCAGGAAGGGTGGTTGAGTTGGGGTAGTGGTAATGTTTTAATAAGAGACATTCAGGATGCCTAACCTCCAAGACCCAAAGGCAGGGGTGCTTCATGGGTATGTGACCTGTCAGTAGTGCAGGTATCTGAGCTCACGAGGGTTCCCTGCCCAGAAGAGCTCTGTGCTTAGTTCAGTGTTCTGCTGTGACCATCTTGAAATTCCTAACTTTTTAACAAAGGGCCCACATTTTCATTTACGGTGGGCTTTGCGTATTATGTAAGTTAGACTGCATATTATGTCCAAAGAACTGATCAACAGTATAGCTTTAGACTTTAGAGATGTTAGTTATTTGTGGAAAGAAGTTCTTCCAGGTGCTGCTCACCCATACCACCCAGGCCACCATCATTGGGGATCTACTATGTGCTCGGTGCTGTGTTAGATGCTAGAGAAGCAGAATGAAGGTTTGGCACCTGCCCCAAGAGCTGCCTCCAAGAGGAGAGACTGGTAGGTAAAGGAAGAGGTAACATCGAGCTTAAGGGGCAGACTGAATAACAATGTAGACCTGCAAGGGGCCAGGTGCTCCCGACTCTCTGGCCTCATGCCCGTACTGTGACCCGTGTCACTAAAATTTCTGCAGAGGCACCAAGAGGGAGGGAGCTGGATGAGCAAAGCAACACAGCTGTCCTGGAACTGCCAGGTCTGGACCTGGCTGGATCTAAGGGTGTAAACTGCAGGATGGCTACTTTGTGAGAGCCCTGGATGGGGTTACACAGAGGGTGCGGTATGATGACCTCCTATTGGAGAGTCTTCCTGCAGCCACTGCATATGGAGCAAGGAATAGAAGCCAAACTCACGGATCAGGAAAAGGAGAAATTCCTTTTAAAACATCTTTCCTACTCTCCAAACTTCAAATCTCCTCTCATTTATTGAGCCAAGACTATAGCCAGTAATATACACCTCTCTCCTTCAATCCTTGCAAGCAGTCAGGAATGTGTGTTATTAACCCTTTTTCTCAGAGAAGGAAGCAGAAGCACTGAGATGGGGAGTAACTTGCCCAAGGTCACATAGTCACAGCCATCTAGGGAGAGGGCATTTGGGGGCCCAGGCTGAGGGTTCCTTGGCCCTGCCAGAGCAGGGAGGGGTTTCCTGACGTCGCCAGAACAAGGGTGCCCAGCAAGAGGAGAAGCTTAGGCCAGCCACCGGCTCCGGGCGTGCTACACAGCACGATGCGGTGGCCTGAGCCCTGGTCCCCGAGCTGGCCCAGCGGGGCGGAGCCGGCAGGGAAGGAGCCCCGGCTCCATCTCCCCTGCGCTGCAGCTGCACGCTGGAGGCTCTCTCTGCGGCGGTGTAGCCGCGCTTCCGCCTCCTCGGGTTGTGCCGAGCGGATGCGCTGCCTGCGTGTGAACAGGGCTTGTTTTCCCTTCACGCCCTCGGGCTCTGTTTCTATGAAGAACTTCCTTCTGTTGGCGCTTGGGGAATATTCATTCCTGGCTTGCAAAGTGCGCGGTGACAGTTGGGCTGGGAAATGTACTCGCGACTTAATTAGGGCATCGCCAGACCGCGCCAGCAACCCGCCCCCGCCCTGCCCTGCCGTGCCCTGCTCTGCCCTGCTGCCTGATCCCAGGGACCCAGAGCCTGCAGCTGGGAGCATCATGATTGCGCCTGCTGCTGGTCCTGCGACCCCAGTGTCCTCGGCCTGTCCTCCACCCTCTCATTCCGGAACCGTCCCAGCCACGGCAGAATGCCTGTTGTCCAAAAAGGGGTTCCTCTTGCATACTTTAGTTTTTAGCATTGCTTACGTCTGGAATGCCCTCCACTCTCCTGGCACAGATCTCTCCTGCCAACAGACCCCTCCAAATTCCTTTCTACTCCCCTCCCGCAGCCTTCACTCACCCATCTGGTGGAAGACTTTCCTGCCAGTGGACATCCAAAGGCCTCTGTTGCTCTGCCCATGGTCAGCCCCGGGCAGATGGACCACGATAGGCCACCCGCTCTGAAGTTTCCTGTATGCTTGTAAGGCATCCCCAGGAGGAGGGGTGCACATGTAGGTTTCACCCTGTTTTTGAGGAAGCTATAGGTAACCTTAACAGAGGCTTGCAAAGCCAAGTATGGACAATATCCATCAACCTACATGGCCCACCACAGGGTGAGGGACACCTCACACCCCAAAAACCCAGAAGAATACTGCACAAGGCCTTCTGGATTGACAGTAAATGTCAAGGCAAAAATTAAATATTGAAAATTCAAGGGCACATTATATTAAAATCCCACTATAAAAAAACTGAAAAAAAATATTTGCAACACATATGGCAAAGGGTGAGTTTCCTTAAATGCTAAAGCACTCCTACAGTAAGAGGGAAATCAACACCCAAGGGAAAATGAGCAAATAGAGCATGGAAAGGAACCACAAATGGTTTCTAAAGGAATGAGGAGACGTGCAGTTACTTACTGTGACAGAATGTGGAGGTGAAAACTGACATCTTGGTTTAAGTTTGCTGGAGAAACCTCGTCAAGATGTGTGGCCTAGGGGAGGAAAAGGCTGTCAAGACTCCCACCAGAGTGGAAGGTCAGGGCCCCGACCTAATTTCAGTGGGTGGCTGGTCCTGTTTCGTGAGGTCAGCAGGCTGTGCGGGGGGGAAGCCTCGGGTGGGTCTTCAGCCAGATTTCATTGAGATCTCTGCTCCACCACTTCCCAGCTGCCTGACTGCAGGGAGCCTGCTTACTTTCTCTGTGCCTCAGTTTTCTCATCTGTAAACTGAGGGCATGATGTACTTCCAGGGAAGACTGAGATGGAGATCCAGGGAGGTGAAGAATCAGGGAGTGACACAGAGACTGAGAGAGCAAGACCTGGGGGAGGAAGCGGGGTCACCTTCAGGAAGAGGGGGCCACAGGAGGGTGGGAGATGCTGCCTTGGGGTTGAGACGATTGTTATATGTGACTAGGTACAACAGGAGTGAACCTGGGCCCGCTGAGGAGATGGGCTGAAGATGGAGGTGCCCTTGGAGACCACACCAGGTTACCTGGTGGTGAAAGAATGGAAAGAGTTGGAAAGAAGGATGGGGTACAGGTGGGAGGCAGATTCAGATGGGATGAAGGTGGGAGAGGGATTCAGATGGGGTACAGGTGGAAGGGAGACTCACATGGGGTGCAGGTGGGCAGAGATTCCGATGGGGTGCAGGTGGGTATGGGATTCAGATGGAGGGGGACGCAAGTGGAGGAAATGAGAATATCTGCAGGCTGTGAAAATATCTGAGTCCCCCACACCCCCAGTCCCAGGATTCTGCTCTCCCAGCAGCATCTCGAAGCTGGGCCTATGGCTGGCCAATTCTGAATGGCCATATTTTTTTGACCCAATCTAGCAGAAGGCTATGTTATGTTTAGAGGGCTGGGGCACACCCAAAACCCAATGGATAGATGGGCCCAAAGTCAGCTTCCCAGAATAGGATGGACTTGGTGGCATTTAACTCAGAACTGCAAGGACAGAAAAGCCAGAGAAATGGTCTGAAGTGCATGTGAAGAGGGCAGTGAAAACTTTGGACCCAGAGAAACCCTGCTCATGCTCAAGCAGCAAGACTAACAGGGAAACAGAGCCCAGGATCAGAGCTGGGAGTGAGGCTGATACCTGTGCTTGTGGAATGGTGCCTGGCACACAAGGGGCACTCAGCTACAATTTCTCAAGTTCATAACCTGCAAGGAGGCCTGTGAGACTTATTAAAACAAATAGTTCAAGCCCAAGCTTGTGACTACCATGAGGATACAAGAACACTGTGGCTGCAAGGCCCAGTGATGGACAGGCAGCACAGGTGTGGTGGTAATGACGTCTCTGACCTGGATGGTGCCCAGTGGTCCTGCCCTTGCAACTCCAGAGAGTATGTGCAATACGCAGGCACCGTGCTCTCCCCAGAAATGTGTCATCTCAAAGGGAAGAAGATACCTTGCTGAGGACCAGCAACTGAACCCCCTCCCTGAATTCTGCAAGGTGGTTTTCCTTGGGCTACATGACTTCCACGGAGCAGGAAATCCTGATAACCTTGGGTTAGAAAGGAAAGGTCATTAGGGATCTGGGACTCACACATTACAGGAGGTGTGGGGGGTATGAGGGTGGGGACTGAGGGAGAAATGAGGGCAGCTTTGAGGACCTTGGAAACAGGCACATGCAGACTGCAAGCTAACGTCCTCCAGGACCATCCTCCATTGGAGCTCTGCGGGGAGCTCCCAAGGTAGACCTAGGAGGATTTACAGAAGTATCTGATTGGCTGCTGGCCAGCCAATGAGAGACTCCCTCTAAACCCACTTCAGGTCCAATCACCTCCAGGCTGGGCTCGCAGAGGGCAAGTCACGTTGGAAGAGGAAAGGGGACAGGACAAGCAAATTAGTTAATAGCTGGGTTGTCCTGAGTGACTTGTGAGATTTAAACGTGCCTGCGGTGGAATCAGACGTCCCAGGATCCTTCCTATTCCTAAGGGGCTCTCCCAACACCACAGTGTATTCCTTCTCTGAGCCTCAGTTTCCTAAGATGCAAAATGGTAGTAATGATGTGTTTGTCACAGGGTTGCTGTGAGGAGAAAATGAGATAATAAATAGGAGAGTGTTTTGTAAACCGTAATGGTGGAGGTGAGTTGTTTTATGTCACACCCCAAAGGAGTGGATGTTCTTGAGTTTTACTTTACAATGAATCTTGATCCAGCCCCCAGCCCACGCCGGCCGCGCAATACTTAGACCTACAACCAAAGCCTGTGAGAGAAAATGCATCCAAGTGTCCCCGCTGAATGCACCAGGCTGCATGATTTTGGATCAAGTTGCATCTCTGCCTCTGGGGGAAGCTCGTTAGGAGCTTTGGATCTCAATTTCCCCACCTGCAAAATGGATTGCCATGCCTTGCCCCATTCACACACTGGCACATTAAATTACCTCTTCTCCCTGCTTCTCTTCTCAGCCCCTCCTTTCCTCTTCCCTCTCCTGCTCTCAGCTTTGGTGGATGGTAGCACCAGAGAAAGAAGGAGTTGTTAGAACATTTCCGTGCTCTCACCAAACTCTCCTTCCTCCTAAGTATTCTGAAAGCGGGCCATTTGCCCTCAGAACCCAACGCCAGACAAGAGTGCATTTTACATTCCTCTTTAAATGTTTCAGGTGTGTCAGTAACATTTTCACAACTGGAATATAAATCCTAGAGGTTGTTTATAACCTCTTTTGTGAAAATTACAACTGCGGTCTGCATAACCGAACAGGCAGCTGGCCGAAGTTTGTTGGAGAAAACAGAACTGGGCAGCCAGCCCTCTGCAGAGCGGCTTTTCCTGCTGCAGGGCCCCTTCCCTTCTTGCTCTCAGCCTCTTGACCTTGCCACGTTCCTCGACATCCCCACAGCTTCAGTTTCCCATACTTTGCCTGCCTGGGACAGATTCCTCCCCTTCAGTGGACCCACCAAGCTCATTTAACGTTGGACCCCTCCCCTCAAGTCCCTGGGATCCTGGGACCCAGGCAGGGAGGAGCTGCTGCTCGTGAGCTCTCACCCAACCCTGCAGGCCCGGGTGTCATCTCTTACAACAGCTGACAGTGACGCCTCCATCTCGCTGGTGTCACTTTTAACACCGAGCGTTCACACCACCGGCTGACTGCGCAAGGAGGCCCCAGCAGAGCCGCATGCAGCCGCACCCCACATGTGGAGATGTTAATCCTGCAGTTGTTCAGCAGGTTCTTTTGGCCTCACCTCCAAATGTGTTACTTCTGGAGGGAATGATACCGCAGAAGTGCACGAGCTCTCCCAAGAAGGAATGACAGGACCTGCCTGTCCTGTGTGAGACACGAGGGGGAAGGGAAGGCACTTTGGAGAGATGGCATGCAAAGATCTGGGGCCTGGACCTCTGCCACCTACACACAGTTCCCTAAATTAGAAAAATAAGGAGAAGAAGAGAAAAAGGAAAAGGGAAGTCATGTCAGCATACCATTTAAAGTGTTTTATTAAATCTGCGTGTTTACCACATGTTTTTGTAAGATAAATTCTAGCCGAAATAAGCAGGCAAAGAGAGGCAACAAAGGGCCAGGTAATTTATTTAAATACCCCCGGGTGAGGTTCTGTGGCCTTCTTGTCAGAGGCCAGAGAAGTCACACCGGGTTAGGGAAGTGGGAGGCTTATAAGGGATTAGGAGGGGGAGGAGTGGGCAAGCTATCCTAGGGGGTGTGGAGAGGTATGATTGGCTAAAGGTGACATAATGGACAACTAGAAACTTTTTTCCTACCAAGAGGGAGGAGGCTGACATCCGGGTCTTAGTTGGCACATCAGGATGGAATTCAGGGAGAGCTGTCTCCTTTCCATATATGGCACGGACTTTGGGGTCTGGTCTGTTCTCCCCCTATGGCATCTCTCTGTTCTGTTTGCATGTCCTTGGTTTTCCTTTCTTCAGCCTAACATTCCAGCCTTTTGGTCATAATGGGCGACGACTCAATCTGGCTACTTCCGGCTGATAAGGGGTGTCGTGGGGGTTTGAGGCGGGTATTAGTCTGAAGGAGGGGGTTCAGTGGGAAAGAGGTGTGTAACGGTGAGGTAACATCTGGTTGGTGGTGACCCGGGTCATCTGGGTTAGCTGCTGTTGGAGGAACTTGAGGACACAAGGGGCAACTAAGAGTAAACTACAAACTGTTATTGAGGGGCCCAGTAAGGGCATTAGCCAGGCTATTATGGGGGACTGGAATTCTGGATTGAGTTTACATCTCAATGACTAGTATTAGGATTTAGTATAGATAAGACTGCATTATTGAAACAATACTTTTCTCCAAAATCACCCTTATTTTTATTAGAAGTACCTAGATTAAGAAAATACTTAACAGTAGGCTTGATTATTTGCATAAGTGCAGCAAGAAGAGCAATTGATTACATAGGCTCTTTTAAATATACTTTGCTGGAACTTTTTGTAAGGAATTTCAGATTGAACTTTTAAGGGCTTTCTGAGGCTAGAAAGCCAAGCCAGACTTGCCATCAGGTTGTGCCTGCAGTACCTGTAGATTTCAGTGAATTCCTCTCTTCTTGAGATTCTCAAGACATTCTTGAGGTTCCTGCACCTGCCAGGAAGTGACCTTCTTTACTCACCTGGTAAGGCTGCTGGGAACCCTGTAAGCAAGGTACCAGGCCAGTTCTTCCAAGGGGCTTTGTTGGCTCTATAAAGTCAACTTTAGTTCCTTAAAGCTGTTCATATCTGAGTTTACACGCGTCTCTCAGGTATGACATTCCAGTCAAAGCCTTGGTAATATAACCAGTGATTTTAATTGGTTCTCTTACAAGGAAAGCAGATTCTTATTGAACTTGTGCAAATAAATATACTGCCATGAAATATAAATATTGTTACTGAGAGTTTTTAAATTCTGGAGGGATCAGGTAGAGAGAAAGATAAAGTTTCAATTCTGCTTATAAAGGTAGTCATTTACTAAACTGTTGTCAGCTTAAGAGAAAAAGCTTAAAACACTTTATCAATAACATTTGAAATAAAAAGCCACAAAATCATCTTCTTTAGTTTACTTAATCCTATGTAACTAATATTTGTTCTGCTATAATTTAGTTTTTTACTAGCTTAAGAGTAATAAAACAGTGACTATAAATAATAAAAGACTTACAAATGACCATGGTTAAAGATCTGATGGGAACTTACTGTAAGACAGTTGACATAAGGAAATTCTGATATTTCTGTAACACAAAACATTCAGTAACAAAGTTCAGCATCATTCCTTTTGACAGTGCCCTCCAGGCAATTAAGCAGGTAATTATATATCAGATAAATAAGCTAAATTATATATCAGATAAATAAGCTAAATTTCTCTCTAATGAGAAAAAGTTTTTCTGACATGTTCTAGGGGTTCTCTGGAAAATATCAGAGTTAACTAGAGGCAAAAGCACTTTTTTGAATTTGATTTTGGGAAGTTGTTAAAAGTTTTAAGACACTTGCTTAAATAGGACCATAGGTTGCTATGAAGCAACACTTACCTAATTAACTAGAATGACAACAAAGTACTTCAAAGGCAAATAAAGGTTACACAGTTGTTATCAAAGTTTAGCTTTTAGTCCTCTTAATATTAAGATCTCATTTTCTTAAAGACTCCGACAACTCACTGAGACTTTAAACATAAGAAACTGCTTTAATAAAACAATTAGAAGAACTTTCTGCAATCTTTCAATATTAAGAGCAGAGTTAAGAAAACTTTGTCTTTTTAACTGAAAACAAAATTGTAATTTTGCTGTGTACTTGAAACTGAGACTCATTTGCTTTAATTTTATATAGCATGACCATATTAAATTCTTCTACAAACTTTTCACAACTTTCTTTTATCAAGACATTTTTTAGCATGCAGAAATGTTTTCCTTACTACTTTAAGTAGTTTTGATCAGAACTTAAAACTATTACTTTAACCTTCAGTGAACACTGAAAAATAGGCTACTGTAAACTGTTACACTCGCATTCTTCAGATTGATACATTTATCAATGTATATTATCATTTTTGGAAATGTGCTTTATAGCACAATTTCTTATTAGGCACAAAATATGTCTATGTAACTTAGCAAACTTTAAGAATTTTGGTTACTACAAAAATTCTCAGGCTGTTTGCATATACATATACTGTTATACATTAATACAGCATTATTATTAAAATTTATTTGCTAGGCTTGTTTACTTATTTTTAGCAACTATGCTAGATTACTTACAAAACCTTTACTGAATGTTAGACAAAGCCAAGCCTTTAAGCATTTTATTCTTAAAAGATTTAGCAGATAACACTGACTTAAATGACCTTAGGTAAACTTAGGCAGCTGATAACAACAAGGACATGCCTGCCTCAGCTAAACTCAAATTAGCATTCATGCTTAACATTTTTTACTAGATTCTCTGGAAGTTCTAGAATGCTCAATCTTCACAACCGCTTGTTTTTAAATAAAATATTTTTCATTTATACACTTAGACACACAACCGTACAAACTGAGATACAATGACTATAGTCAGCAACACTTTTTTCATAAAAACATATACACAGATAGACAAACCCATACAAAGACTTAAGTTACTGATATCTAACTGCCCTCTCTCCTCTCAGCCTCTTGTCTGTGGCTTCTGGAACTAGAGGGCGGGAGGGGCGTGTTCTGGTGGGGGAAAACTTTTAACAACTTCCCAAAATCAAATTCAAAAAAGTGCTTTTGCCTCTAGTTAACTCTGATATTTTCCAGAGAACCCCTAGAACATGTCAGAAAAACTTTTTCTCATTAGAGAGAAATTTAGCTTATTTATCTGATTATCTCCTAGGCGGAAGGAGAGGGGGAGGGGTGGTGCAGCCAACGGAAGATGAGAGCAGGACAACAGCAAGGTTGAGAATGCAGGACTTTAAGATGGAGGTGACACGTGTGAAGACAAAGATGGTGGTGGAGAGACGGGGAGGGGATTGCGAGCTGAGGGAGGTGGGCGACTGAGGTTTTCTGGCAGATCTGAAAAGGAAGGACTGAGCAGAGTAAGAGGCTGACAATCTTTAACTAGGGATCGGGTTAGGAGAACCTAAGTTATAGAACACTTAACATAAAGGTCTTGACGGGAGTGCAAAGTCCAAAAAGCCTGCACATACAGGATTTCATTCTACTTTCCGCTCTGGTGGCAATAATTAGTTAAGTTGGTGAGGAGGCTAAAATCAAAAGTTCCCTCAGGGGGCCAGTGAGATTGGTTGTCCAAGGGATACTGAGGCCTGGCCTCAGAGCAAAGGAAGACTAACTTCCGTTTGCGGACTTCCCGGGACAAACATAGAGTAGCCATATTGGAAGTGAGACACTGCAGCAGAGTCTGAGCCTCTGCTTTCATGGGCTGGTTCCTCATGTCTGCGCCCACTTTCCAAAAAAAATCCCGCTGAGAGAAGCACCCAGCGTCCCAAGCACACCAAGTTAGGGGAGACGGCCTGGGAGCCTGGGTGAGGGATGTCTCCCTGACCGCAGGGCCAGGGGTGAGTATCCCGGATACTCGCAACAGATGGGCTGAATGCCCAGACCTGGACATAGCTATGATTTTGAACGGACCAGGTAAAAGGGAGTTAGGAAGGGAAGCAGACTGGGGGAAACTGAGGGACTCACCAGAAAATAATCTACGCAGCGGAGAGCAGGCTGAGGTCCCGCGTCCCAGGTTTCAGCACTATATGTAAGATAAATTCTAGCTGAAATAAGCAGGCAAAGAGAGGCAACAGAGGGCCAGGTAAGTTATTTAAATACCCCCGGGTGAGGTTCTGTGGCCTTCTTGTCAGAGGCCAGAGAAGTCACACCGGGTTAGGGAAGTGGGGAGCTTATAAGGGATTAGGAGGGAGAGGAGTGGGCAAGCTATCCTAGGGGGTGTGGAGAGGTATGATTGGCTAAAGGTGACATAATAGACAACTAGAAACTTTTTTCCTACCAAGAGGGAGGAGGCTGACATCCGGGTCTTAGTTGGCACATCAGGATGGAATTCAGGGAGAGCTGTCTCCTTTCCATATATGGCACGGACTTTGGGGTCTGGTCTGTTCTCCCCCTATGGCATCTTTCTGTTCTTGTTTGCATGTCCTTGTTTTTCCTTTCTTCAGCCTAACAGTTTTCAAAGAATATTTCATGGCATAATGGTAAGAGACAAAAGCAGCAAGCAGAACCTAGACACAAAGTGATCTCAATTCTGTAATGTGTGGAGTAGACATCACCACTGTTCACACACATCCAACTCCTCTCTATCTCCAGTCAGCTGGAGAATTTCACTTCCTCACTCCTTGAGATCCACCATGGTCATATGACTTGCTTTGGCCAATGAAATGTGAGGGAAGCAACCATGCCACTTCTAGGTGGCAGTGTTCAATAGCAGATACTCCTGTCCTGGGCCCACTCTTCCTCTGCCTCAGCCACCATGGCCCAGAGGTTTGCCAGAGCCACTATCCAGGAGACAGCAAACCAGAGTTGCCCAGACTAGTGTGATTGGGGTATGAGCCCAAACAAGCCTTTGTGCTGTTAAACCACTGCGATTTGGGGCTGGTTCTCCCTGCTGCATGGTCTGGCCTATATGGACTGATGTAATAAATAGAAGAAATAGATGCAAAAAAATCTCATCAGGAAGTCTTGCAGTTACTTGTGATTTTTGTTTTTAAACTTATCTAATTTTTCCAAATTTTGTGATGTCAGCATATATTACTTGTGTGTTGTTTTTCTTTCAGTTTTATTGTGATAAAATTGACATACAGCCCTGTATAAGTTTAAGGTATATTTATTTTAATGATTTTAAGGAGTTGTTAGGCATAGCTAGATTTTTTTTAAGTAAATAAATATGTCCCTGGTATTATGCTAGACACTTTAGTTATGTCATTTAATTTGATTCTCACAAAACCTTTTTAAACCATTTTAAAAAGGGGAAATCTGAAGTTTAGAGAGATTAGGTGTCAGGTACTCTACACTCATTATCTCATGTTCCTGCTCAGAAGCTCAGTATTTTCTTCTAGTTTTAAAGATGAGGCTCAGAGAAGTTAAGTGAGCTGCCCTCCATTAATCACTTGGGAATTGAAGTAAGTGAAATTGAAATAATAACTGCAAAGGCAGACACTTTTTATTGGATGTTTCTATATGCCAGGCCCAGGTAAGATCTCATTTTATCCTCTCAGTCATTCAATGAGTTAGTACTAATATTATTTCAACTTTGTAGATGGAAAAAAAAAGAAGGTTCAGAGAGACTGAGCAACTTACCTAGGGTTACACAGCTAGCAATTTATAGAGCTGGGACTGGCATCTTGGTCTGTCCAGATTTTGGTCTGCTCATTTTTCTGGGAGCAGAGATGACTTGAAATAATACACACATGAAACATGAACATATTTTTATCAAAATATTTACACAATTTAAAAAGCCAAATGGTACAATGATGCTGACCATGACGAGCAGCTTCTCCTCACTATCCAGGCCCCTCATCAGAGGCAACTACTTTCAACTCTTTTAGCTGTTCCTTCTGACATTTATTTTTATATTTCTAAGTATCATTCTTTACCTTTTTTTCTAAAGATATTATTTATTGGCTTCTACCTATGGAAGGCTGATGATGCTCCATCAGACACCATACCTCATACACAAACTCACATTTTTTCTTTCCAATATAGTTCTATCACAGTTGCTAAATCAATACTCAGTCTTTACATTACCATATATCTACATATATATTTTTCACAACTAAAGAAAATACTGTATTATGGTCATAGTTCCTGTCTTCTACAGTTTTGTTGTTTTTTCTGGAGTTAATAATTGCCTCATTTTTTTATTTAGGTTTTGACAAAACATCACTAATTCTTCCCACAAGCATGTCTAAACTTCTAGCAATATATTTAAACACATCTGGTCAACTGTTTTTTCTCAAAGGCTTCTATCCTCCCTCTCCTCCCTGTCTGAATAGAAGTCCTGAAATTTCTCTTCATCATTGTCCTGGAAATTCCCTCAACTCTCTCCTGTGTTGGTTCCTTGTTTTTTGGCTCCTAAGCCATCCTCTTTCTTGGTTTATTCTCTTCATTTTGTTGCAATATGTAAGCCAGTAGCTTCCTTTGAAGCTGCATATGGAAGTTCAGTTTTTGGATAACTGATTGACAGTTTGGCTGAATGCAAAATTTCTTCCCCCAGAATTTTAAAGGCAGTTCTCTAATGGCATGTGGTGTTCTGGGTTGATTTAAGAAGTCCAATGCCATTCTGATTCTTCATTCTCATTATGTGAACTTTCAAGCCTCTGAAAGCTTCTAGAATCTTCTCTTTATCTCTGATGTTCTAAAAAAATTATTTAACATATTCAGTTTTATTTTATTCAACTGCATTTATTCTGAAGTTTATTCTGATTTGCTTTTGATAAGTTAGGTTAGATAATGCCATAAACTGACATTTATATATTTTAACTCAAAGCCAGAAGGACATACTAGAAACACTGCCATACTGTCACCACTCTTTTGGAGTACTAGTCAATGCAATGAGAAAAAGGTATTAAATTGTAAAGGCTGTAACCTATCATTGTTTGGAGACTATTGACCATTTACCCATAAAATCAACTGAAAAAATTACTGAAAATGACAAAATAATCAAGTAAACTTATTGGGTACAAAATTAGTATTCTATTACCAATAGCCTTCAAATAGACAGATGACAACCAGTACTAAAATACAATTACTGAAAGATTCCATTTGCAAAAGCAACCAAGAAATAAACTTTTTTTCAAAATACAAGTAGCTTTATTTTTATTGTGTTTATAAAAATTTTAATGTTCGTTATCATTTTTTTAATTAAGGTATCATTGACATAATGCTTAAGTTTTACATGAGCAACATTGTGGTTACTACATTCCCCCTATTATCAAGTGCCCACCACATACCCATTACAGTCACTGTCCATCAGCATTGTAAGATGTTATTGAGTCACTACTTGTTTTCTCTGTGCTATACACTTCCTTCCATGTGCCCCTGCTATATTATGTGTGCTAATCATAATGCTCCTTAATCCCCTTATCCCTCCCTTCCCACCCACCCTCCCCAGTTCCTTTCCCTTTGGTAACTGTTAGTCCAATCTTGGGTTCTGTGAGTCTGCTGCTGTTTTGTTCCTTCAGTTTTTGCTTTGTTGTTATACTCCACAGATGAGTGAAATCATTCAGTAGTTGTCTTTCTCTGCCTGGCTTATTTCACTGAACATAATACCCTCTAGCTCCATTCATGTTGTTGTAATGGTAGGATTTGTTTTCTTCTTATGGCTGAATAGTATTCCATTGTGTATATGTACCACATCTTCTTTATACATTCATCTACTGATGGACACTTAGGTTGCTTCCATTTCTTGGCTATTGTAAATGGTGCTGGGATAAACATATGGGTGCATGTATCTTTTTGAAACTGGGCTCCTGCATTCTTAGGGTAAATTCCTAGAAGTGGAATTCCTAGGTCAAATGGTATGTCTATTTTTGTTTTTTTAGGAACCTCCATACTGCTTTCCACAGTGATTGAACTAATTTGCATTCCCACCAAGAGTGTAGGAGGGTTCCCCATTTTCCACATCCTCACCAGCATTTGTTGTTGTTTGTCTTTTGGATGTTGAACATCCTAACTGGTGTGAGGTGATATCTCATTGTGGTTTTAATTTGCATTTCTCTGATAATTAGCGATGTGGAGCATCTTTTCATGTGCCTGTTGGCCATCTGAATTTCTTCTTTGGAGAAGTGTCTGTTCACATCCTCTGCCCAGTTTTTAATTGGTTATTTGCTTTTTGGTTGTTGAGGCACATGAGCTCTTTATATATTTTGGATGTCAACCGCTTATTGGATGTCATTTATGAATATATTCTCCCATACTGTAGGGTGCCTTTTTGTTCTACTGATGGTGTCCTTTGCTGTACAGAAGCTTTTTAGTTTAATAAAGCCCCATTTGTTCATTTTTGCTTTTGTTTCCCTTTTCCAAGGAAATATGTTTATGAAAAAGTTGCTCATGTTTATATTCAAGAGAATTTTGCCTATGTTTTCTTCTAAGAGTTTTATGGTTTCATGACTTAAATTCAGGTCTTTGATCCATTTTGAGTTTACTTTTGTGTATGGAGTTAGATAGTAATCCAGTTTCATTCTATTACACGAAATAAACTTTTTTTTAAAGTGCAAATCTATGTGAAGAAAACTGAACGCTACTGAAGGATACAAACGTACTTACACCACATTCTTAGATAAAAAGATTCAACATTATATAAGATGTTGGTTTTCCCTAAATCAATCTACACATTAACACAATCACATGAAGATATCAACAGGATTTCTCATGAAACTAGACAAGTTGATTCTAAAGTTCAAATGGAAAATTATATAAGCAAAATTATCCAGGGAAATTTGAAAAAGAAGTATAAAGAGCAGAGGTAACTTTATCAGGTATTTACATATTTACAGGTATTTTAAATTTCTTATATAACCAAAATAATTAAAACTGTGTTACAAGGACATGAATTGATGTATAATTTAGAAATTATAAGAAGTCACCTAATATATATAGAAATATACTCTATGATCAAGTTGGCATTTTAAAAACAGGATTTATCCATATTTAGTATTGGGACAATTGGCTATCCATCTGTAAAAGACATTAATTTAGATCTCCACTTCACATGTTATACCAAATAATTCCACATGAATCAAGGTTTAAATGAGATCATGAAATCCTTAAAGTACCAGAAGAAAACAGAAGATATGGGAGCAATCATTTATTGAGCCTCTAGTCTAGCTCAATGCCTATTAA